ACATAAATATCCTAATGGATAAGTACATTATTACACATAAATATCCTAATAGATAAGTACATTATTACACATAAATATCCTAATAGATAAGTACATTATTACACATAAATATCCTAATAGATAAGTACATTACTTCCCAAAAAAGTATCCTATTGATTAAATGTACTAGTTCACAACCACCCATGAGGAGTTCAAAACTAAGTATTTATTTCCATAGTATGATATGCTGTATACTGTATGTTAATTACTGGATATGGTATTTTTTAAAGGAATAAATTTTTAAATGTTAAATTTTCTTCCATCTAAACAATAACCATACCCGTGGTGGCTCATTGAACAGATGCAGGTTTACATTGGGCAGTGAACATTGCATTTGAGGGCTGTACGATGAATGGAGAAATCCAGCATACCCACTGTTACTGTGGTTCTGTTAGATAAAAACACAACAAATTAATTTCAGTTTTGTAATTTTTGGTAGATATTGTTATGTTTTACTTATATACTTACAAACCAAGTAAAACTAAGCTTAACTTAATAGCTTAACAATATGTTTACTCTTGATGCTTTCTTTGTTTTGGATATGCACACAAGGCTATATGCAATAGCTGTTCCTCATTTTGAACTGATAAACCAAAGAAAAAGCAGCTAGTCAACAACACTCACTGCCAGCTACTCTAATTGAATAAAGGGATATAAATGTCACCCTTACAATGCACATATGAACTCAAAGTGCAGACCATGACTTTGCATTAAGGAGACTCAAACTATACACCAAGCCACTTGTGGTAGAAGTGAAAGGAAATCACTGGGGGAACTCCAAGATGATTTAGAAGCCTAATAATGTAGGATGTAATGTTGAATGGCTTTACCGAATGCACAAAGAGTGATAAAGGTGCATTGAATTGTACAAACAAATATCAAGAATGTAGTGTAAATTCAGTATGTTTTCATTTTTCAAGTGTACAAACAAACCCTTTTTGGAACAATATCCAATCTCTAATGATATAGTAAAACTCAATGCAATGTAATGCAATCTTAGTGCAATGTTTCTTGTTAAAAAGTGTGAATACTTCAACTCAGTTAAGCTTTGTATTATTCAAATGTTACAGACCTTACTCTTCTATATTACACATTTCTTATCTTTAAAATTTATTTTTGGAGCATCATAAATCCAGTTGAGATCAGAACATGTGTTAAATCCAGCATTATTTGTAGCTTGAGTGGTCAAAGAACTTGATTTCTATTTCTTGAAATAGTTACATTGTGTCCTACATTTCCTTATGTATGAGGGGATTCCTTGTGACTGTCACATACAGGGAGATACTTCCACATTCCAGTGTCCTTTTTTTCTGATTGGTCAGTTACAGAGCAAATGTGTATTTGAATGCAGTTGTGCCCTCAACAGAGATTCATTGCAAACTTTCAGGATGTTGGTTCCTACTGAGAGAAAGAGCACCAAGATCCATTGATGAAGTCCTGTACTTCTTTTGCTATACTCTTTCGCATCTGATAATCATTTACATTTTATTTTAACTTCATATTAGTTTCAAGTTACATTTGCTTTAATCTACTTTAATTCTAGTCTATTTCATTTTCCTCACTCTCTAAGGAAATAGTCCTACTATTATAAAAAATCAAAGTTTCAATCAAACATTCCTCTGTTTCAAACTCAACAAAGCATTTTATTTTTGCTTCAGCACCATGTCTTGTCTCTTTCATTTCACCTGCAATAAATCACTATACCTCTCTTCTTCTACACAATAAACCTACAAATTTCTTGTTTTTGGAGAAGTTGAGTGACTACAAGTTGGTTTAACCTAACTTACCAAATATTACCTTGATCAAACAAATTTTGTACGATCAACCAGCATTTAATAATTTCAGAAGTAGTAGTGGGTTTGTGTCTTTCATACTTCCAGATTATTTTCTCTATTGTTCTTCTCATGGAATTTTATAAAAAGAAATACCTCTGCATTCTCATTGCTGTCCAGTTCTGAATGTGATCTTTACAGCTTGTTTTAGAGACCATCCATTTTATCTCAATAAAATCATGGTCAGCCATGATTTCAGAGTATTTTTTCACCTGCACCTTCAAGCTAAACAGATTGGCTTGAAATAAACAATTTTGTCTGTGGTTTCTGATGAACCAGGTCATGGTTCAGCTCACTGTAGTTAAGGGGAGCACTCAGAATAGAGAACTTCTCTGAGTTAATTGGGGTTCCTGTGTTTGCATCCCTCAGCTTTGCTTAGCTTTTCTCCATTAATGTTTGTTTTAAGTCTGCCAACCTGCCTCAACCTGTCTTCCACTGATGTGGCAACAATCATGATAAGTAAATAACTGATCTTTATGGCCTACATGTAATGTACCCTGAATAAACCAAGATCTTTCTCATCATGAGGAGCATTGATGCTTTGCACCAACCTAAACTTCATGTTTGTGTGGTTCAGGCAGAGAGAGAGACGGTGTTATGACATGTTGTTTGCAGCAAGCATGAGCAAGATTTTAACATTTGGCAGATTGTGAGAATTCCAACAACTACAGAGGGGTTGATGCCCATGCCAACACCAGTTCCATAGTCATTTCAAAGGAATACTGAAAGGTTGGCCTTGCTACAACTGGCAGGAAGAAGTGAGATGAAACATATTTCCATCTTTTAAAGATTCAGTGAGGGAAGAGTTAGACTGCTTCCCTAAGTGATTTTGCCAGGCAGACACATGGAATTCCTGAACCCAGGAACAAACGAAGCACCATCAGCTACTTAGTTTGAACGGTTCAGCACCAGATACTGTGAATTACTTGCAGCCTAACCAACTTTGCAGCTGGGAAGCCATGGTCCTATAGCTGCATCAGCAATTCAACATGGTAGATAACTGAGTCTTCTATTGGGCAGAATTCAAGGCTTATAAAATCTTAGTTGTATATGCTAATGAAATGTGATGCTTATATGAAAAAGCATACCCCAGCACAGCAGCAGCTGACCAATAAGTTAATGGAAGAAATCCCTAGAGAGCCTATGCAATATAACTTGGGTGTTACAGACATTATATCTTTAATTGAAGCAATGAATTACAAAACTGTAACATTGATCAACACAACACCCAAATGTGCTGTTCCCTCATTATATAACCCACAACTGATAGTTCCATATCCACAGGCACTGTAAAGTAGCTCAGTTAGACCAGAGTGACTGCCACATAAGTAGCAAAAGTGTCACGAGCATAATAATGCAGGCGGAGATGTATCTTGATCCACAGAATGAGAGAAGAAATGTTCATGAAAGCTGTGGACAAGTTGGTCATTTCTTTATAGCATACATGTTCTTCCCTGTGCCTGGACAGGAGCCCAAGTGCCCTCAGAATAGATCAAACAATCAACAACAGGTCCAAGAGAGAAGACAGGCAGAAACATTCTCAAATTTGATAATCTAGCCTAATGGGCTCCAGATCAGGTCTGACTATTGATCTATAAGAAAACAGTCCTCTGTTCCTTTCTTCACATGTGGTGGATGGTAGAACATTTATAGTCCCAAGTAAGGGTCATTGTGCTTGTAGGTAGTTATTAGTTGATACAGATTTTGCTAAAACTGTACTTGATCTCATGGTGTAAACCACAACTCTGGCCAGTAAACACACATTTCACTTGCAAACAGTGATCAGCTTGCAGTGAATGGAAAAGCTTAACTGTGCATCTCTGTTGACATTTGAGGTTTAGATAACCTACAGATGTTATTTGATAGTATATCTAGTATACCAAGTAAAATGCAACTCTTTTGTGGAACTATAAAAGTATGCACAATAACCATGGATTGCATGAATGTATTTAAATGATGCCATTACAATTCCATGTAACAGAAAATAGAATGTTGTGGTGAACTACAAAAACAATCTCAAGTTGGACCACCAACTAATGCTGTGGTTAAAGCAACACCTGAAACACATTGTTTTCTCTCTAAAAATGAAGCTATACTTGTTCAAATAGTTATATCTCTGAATGCATAATATAATCCATTTATTATTTGTAATTATGGCACCAAACCAGTAGAGATACCACATGGAGTGATTGTAGGTTACATGAAAGATAAGTAACTGAAAGTAGTAGTTCATCCATTGTTACTTTGACTACACCACACCAACATATATATATGAAGGGCAATATAACTTATCAAAAATTACAGATAGTCTAAATTTCAAAAGCAGAATATGCTCAAAAGGTTACTGACCAATTTCATTAATTTATTTCTCAGAAACAGATATTTGGCTGAGATGAACAAATGTTACACAGTATCATACGGCTACCAAATACATGCATCGTGTAGTGTAACTGCTATACAGGTTTTCTTGGAGTACTAGACATATATCCAGTACTGAGATTGATTGGATGCTGAAGGATTGAATCATTCAGCTTTGAGAAAGTGTATTGTTGTCCACAACGATTATTGTACCAAAGAAAGGAGGTACATCAGGGTTATGGACTTCAGGTGGGAGTTTGTGGTGAGGAAGGTTGAAAGGTGACTCGAGAAAGTGGGAACATTAATGTAAAGTAAACTGAATAACCATTTACACTGTTTATTGGAAAAAACACCGGTTGATTTTTTTTTTTTGTATGTTATAACACATACAAGCCCTAACATTCACATTTGACAAACAGTGTTTTTGTATGTTGAAGAAAGAACTACTTATGGTAGTGGAATTCCTTAAACTCTTTTGCCACTATTTGTAATGCTGTTAATTTACTGCTCTAGTATGTAATTGAAATGGATTCTGAACTTTAGCAAACTGAAAGGTATGATTACATGTTGGATCAGAACATTGTAGGAGTACAATTTCACTGTACAATATAGACTGAGCTGACAGCACTGAATTGCAGAGAGTCTTTCTTTCCTGAATGGGAGAGGTTTTCTGTTTGAAGTCCAAATTCTAAATAACAGATGCAAAACATAGTTCTATTTATGTTAAAGATTTATAAGAGCAGCTGCTATTTTACATGAAATTATAAAACTTACTAATAATAGACATGCCCATAAGGAAAGGGTTAAATTTTGCAAACACAGTTACTCAAGAAAGTGGGGATGTTAATGTAAAGTCAACTGAATAAACATTTTCAGTGTTTATTGGGAAAACACCAATTTCATTTTTTTTGTATTGGGAGTATTTTATCAGTGTTTGTTAGTTAAAACCCAAAATCAGAAGCCCTCACTACACATATTGGAAGACACTACATCCAACCTTCACTTCTTGTGCAGTTTAGAGAAAGAATCATCACCAGGGTAAATTGTCAGCAAGTTTTAGGTTCTGCATCAGAGAATAGTGCTAGATATCACCAGACCGACTATACATTACCTTCTGATGGATATTGATTACTTCATTATTGGGCTGAAACATATTCAATAGCCACTATGTTGGCTCACACTGGCACCAACACATTGA